GAGTTTTTAGGGTTGGGGGGGGGATTGGTCCACTGCTTCTGCTGAGAGGTATTGCTTGTCTATTGGATTGGAATTCAGCAAACAAGAACTAGCCTACTGAGAGAGGTCTCCCCCCACCGCCACTAGAGTGGTTGATCCAGCTCTCTGCCATCAACTCAAGGACAGTGCCTCAGAAGTGAGATGAGAAAGGGGATTTGGTGGCCCCAAATGAGGTGAGAGAGAAATGGATGAAACTGAAGGCACCTTTGCATTCTGATAATATAGGAAGGGTGTATACAATATAATCTGATTGTAAATTAGTGTGGGGAAGGTAGTTGTAAAGGAACCCTGGTGAGTAATTCTCCAGTAGTGGGCTTGGGTGATTGGGTTGGTTGAGCAATGGATGATTTTCCATTCTCACAACAGTGAGAGGGCAGGTTGACCTAAGGGGAGAATAAAAGTAGTTATATCCCTTGGTGGTGGTGTAGAGATTCAGATGACCTTGAAGGAAATAGGCAAGAACCAAAGGGCTGAAACATTTCTTGTCCTGGGAAACAAGGTAATATTCTGAAGATACTCAGGCAGCCTATTCCTTGATTCATTGGGATATAAGATAGAGGGGAGGTAAAGTACAATCAGGCTTGCAATATTCTGTTGTTATAGTCCATCTCAATAAAGTATAGTTCCAGTCTTCCTAGGAGTTTGTTTCCTGATCTTGTCTTCCTCAAAGGGCTGACAGTTGTGTTGACGGAGATATGGTGGGAAGGAAAGGGAAGCTTCCAATTTGGTGATAGTACAGACTTCCAACCTGGTTGCCTGATCTTGGGGCTAAGTGGCCTGATTGCTGGCACTCCTAGCCTCAGGGTCCTCATGCCAGGCATAATCTTCATTCATCATCCATCTACTGCATGAGGCAGTAGATCTGACATACATTACCAAAACCTGTCTGGCCTTGTCAGAAATCTGCCCGGGCATGTTTCAGGTCCTTTAGCAAGCTCAGGGCCAGGGCCAGGAAGAGTGGTGGTGGCTCTGAATAAAGGGCATCTTACCTGTAGTTGGGTTTGAGTTCCTATATGTTAGATTGGGAGAGACAAGCTTGAGATCCTGTTGATGTAGTGACTGCCCTGAGGCGTGGCAGGATGCCATCCCTGGCTCCTGGAGCTGGTGTCTGGGAGTGAGGGGGAGATATATTTGATGAAAACCCTGGTTGATGTATTTCTGGATTCTTTTTTCATCAGACTACAAAAATGAAACAAAATTGCATAGGGTGAGTCAGTAATGAACTTCTAGCAAGGTATTGTTCCACATTGTAAGCAAGCGATATTTTTATTTCATGGACAGCAATGTTTGTTCCTGTAAATAAGTGAAAGATTTCTGTCTCTTGTTTTGTTTATGCCTTAATGGACTTGTTAATGTTTAAGAAGCTAAATGACTTGATTATTTTTGATGCATATAAACATAATTGTTCCTTTTATAAGCCTTTTGATATTACTATGTTTTATCTAAATAATTGATTTTTGATGTGGTTTGTTTTCTCTAGTAAAGCTAAAGAACTTAGGGAGCGCAATGAAGACTTCCCTGACATTATTTCTGGAGCCTATATTACTGAAGTAATTCCAGACACACCAGCTGAGATGTAAGTTAAAGAACTTGATTGCTTGTTTTGGTCCTAACCTTGTAAGGATGAACACCTTGATCAGAAAAATGAATGAATGAATGAATGAATGAATGAATGAATGAATGAATGAATGAATGAATGAAGAATTATCAACAGAAATTTTCTGTCAGAAATTTGAGAAAACCTGCTAGATCCCCAATGCTATGATTAAGAAGAGGTTGCCATTTTTATGTTCTTCATTAGAGACATGTCTGATTCTGCTGGTCTGATGAGCTGATTCTCCCAGCTATTATGCTGATGTGGTGCAAAAAGGTTCCATGGCAGGACTCAGAAACAGCTGAATCCCATCATTGTGCATAGAACCTGGCTTCTACTGGGACCATTAGAGCTCTGTCACCAAGTCACTTATTATATATGCTTACCCACATAGTAAATGATTGTGCCATGCCCAGTAAGCTTAGAATACAATGCAAAAAAAGTTAGAGTAGGTGAAATGTAATAGTAATTCTCGTGTAGCACTGTCAAGTCCTCAAAGTGTTAACACACATGTTATCCTGAACAACAACATTACCTCAATATTGCAGATGTGGCAGGATAAGGAAAGAAGGCAGAAAGAGAAAGTGACTTGTATCAGATCTGACTCATGGAGTTCTTGGTTTCTGGCTCATATCTGTTAGCCATTAGTCTGGATCTAATGAAGCTCAAATTTAGGAGGATATTGTTGAATGTGCAAACATCACTCAGTTTGACAGAAATAATACTATTTAAGGCTTCTGTAAATGGGAAGAGTTGGATGGTACAATGTGATTTGTGAAGTATAAGGCAAGAGTGACCGGAACCTGAAGCTCTGAATTTTATTATTTTAATTCGATTTTGGTGCTGCCTGACTTCAGAATAACTCTGGGTGGTTCCAGAGTCGTTATTGTAATTTGCAACTTATTCCAGTCAGAACTGAAGGATGTGTGTGGAGCATATGGCAATCATATGAACATCCTTCTGCTGACACATAAAGCATGTTATTATTCAGTTAATCTCTATGTTTATTACTTTAAAGGCTTAATTCTTCAAAGGGAAATGTTTATTTCTTCTTCTTTATAGTCCTCACTGTTTCAGAGATAGCTTGAAAGTATGATTACAATTTACCCTACTAACATTAATATTTAATGAATGTGCATTCCTTATTCAACTATTTTTTCTGGAGTTGTAATACCTACAGCAAGGAGATTTTCTTCATTTCATATTAATGATCACCCTGAGCACTGGTGGGCTGTCAAGAAATTAATAATTCCTGAAAAATGTTTCTTTTGAAAGAACTGCTTGTGTAAGACATTTCTCTTTGCATGAGCAAGTCTTGTGAATGCTTTGTGGCTACATAAAATAGCTGTGCTTAGGGGTTGATTCATGTCTCAGCCTGTTCAGTGAATTAGTGTTTCCATAACTCACAGTTGGAGTTTGTCTACAAGACAGGACAAGATGATGTGGGGGAAGAATGCTGAACTCTCTCCATTACCCTCAGTGCCACCAACTCTGAATATAGTCCAGTTTGATGGATAGATTTGCTCTTGCTCTAGAGGTTTAACTTTAATTTCTCAGTCAGAAGAAAAGCTTTTGAGATGGGATTGTAAAAGAAGGCAATGAAGATTGCAGCCATTAGATATCATGTAAGATTTATTTCATTGAAATGTTATAAAGATTCTAAAAAAGGAAATTGGGTATATTTTAATTTTATTTCTTAAAAATCATCACTAAAATAGTAACCTCCTCTCTAATTTAACAAAGAATAATTATAAATCAATGTCACTAATATGCCAAATTTACTTATATTCTTATTACATATTTATGTTGCTTTTATGCCGTCTTCCAGCAAATAACCTCAAGAAGGTTGAATAGCAGAAATTAAAAATGAACATAAAAACAATTTTTAAAACTGCCATTAGAAACATAAAGATGGAAACCACTATTAGCCCTGAAGGAAAAACATTTCACAATTTGGAAGAGATAAAAGAAAAGACCTTTCCAGAATGCCTGAGAAAGTGGCCCTTTATGAATAGGGATGTTTAAAAAAACATTTTAATCTTTTAATCTTTAATCAGAACAAGTCCATAGCAATATAGATGATCCATAGTTACTCAAGCCCTAATTTGGGTGTTCACGGAGCAGTATCTTCAGGCTACATATCGTTAGCAACACATCTAGTTGGAACATATTACCCTCTGATTATTTAATTTAAATATTAAAATTGGCTTGAATATTACAGGTTAATCAAATCAAGCTAGATGACACGCATCCTCACCCTAATCTATTTAAACCTTTCAAGGTTAAGACCAGTATTTCTAATTTAGCCTGAAGAATGATTCACAACCACTACCAAGCTTTCAATTTCAAAGTGATAGGATCATAAGATTGTGCATTAGTTAATAGCTGCATTTTGCACCAATTGGATTTTTCAGATATACTTCAAAGGTAGCTGTACCTAGAGCAGTGTTTCTCAACCTTGGCAACTTTAATATATGTGGACTTCAACTCCCACAATTCCCTAGCCACCCATGCTGGCTGGGGAATTATGGGAGTTGAAGTCCACATATCTTAAAGTTGCTAAGGTTGAGAAACACTGTCCTAGACTCTGTTGCAGGAATCTAAATGTATGTAACAATGGCTCTCCTACTGCTTGTAAGTTCCGAGCTTAAAAATGTGCAGAGACCAGAGATGGACAGGATTGTTACTGTTTTGTGTTTATGTGGTGAGGGAGTTAAACCAACAAGGCACAGTAGGAAAAAAAAGTAAAGATAACATCCTGTATATGTTGAAACATTGCAGTACATGCACATTAAAGTATAAATATTGTATCAGCTCTTCTTTTACCCTGGCCAGAACTTTACAGTGAGAGGTAGACATGGATTCTTCTTTATCAAGGGATGTGTCTCCATTCTCGTTTAACCTAATGTCACTGGAAACTTCCTTTCATTTCCCAAATTAAGCATACCCAGAAGGACACAGTGCTACATATTTGTCAAATAGTAGTTTCTTGGATTGAGGTGTGATTCTCATGTCTTGAAGTATCTTGATATAGAAAGCAGGTGTGAATCTTTTGTTAGGTTAATATATTTTTTTTTCTCTCTTTGTATTTCAGAGGAGGCCTGAAAGAAAACGATGTGATTATAAGCATTAATGGACAACCAATAATCTCAGCCAGTGATGTCAGTGACATTGTCAAAAGGGACAGTACACTTAGCATGGTAGTACGCAGAGGGAATGAAGACATTATTCTAACAGTTATTCCCGATGAAATTGGCCATTAAATAGAAACATGAGCTGGATTTCATGCTACAAGCACGCACTGGACTGTTTATATTATCTCTGTGCTGGTACAGGAAACAGTAGATTTTTGACCAACTATCCACATGTTCAGTGGTGTTTTATTGCCGAATAAAGTAATTTTCCTATAGGTACAATGTTCAAGATGATACTTCAGCTGTTCTTAATGTGTGCTATGTATTTTTTACTGGCTATTCCATCTGTTACTACCACTTTAGTAGTCATCCATTCTATTCTGCAAGTTAAACCACCTGTAAAACGCACATTGCAGTATTCCATTGTTTTATAGCTTGATTTTTCCTGAAGATATAACTCTTAATAAGAAAGATAAATAGTGAAAATATTTGAAATAAATACTGACTTGTACATGTGCAAGTCCTGAACCTATGCTGATTTTGTTTTAAAAAAAAACTACTGTAGTTTAATTAAAGTACTTCCAGTTATATATTTGTGTTATTCCTGATAAAAATCCATTGCCATTTTTTTTCACACAAAGGGTATTTTGAAGCTAAAATACAGACATTGATTTTACTATATACTGTGTTCTTACTTCTCTTTATTCTATTAGGGGATAGACGCTAATGTTTTTATTCATAATTTTCACATAAAGGGGCATGTTACTGTCCTTTAGTTCCATCTAGGATGCACTATTGTGAATGTAAGAAATATAGTAGGCTCATGGTCTAACCTTTTTTCTATCATTATTGTACAGGATGTTTTCTGATTGAGTTTACTTTTACATAGTATCAGAAGGCCGCTAATTTGCTTCATCAGCCGCCTAACCTCAATAGCTCAGAGTGCAGTCAGCTGATGGTTGATTCCAGATCTATGAGCTATTCATGTGATGCCTCAGTCGATCCATAATAACATAGTCTTCCAAAGTTAGTGTACTGAAATCATAAAAATTCACAGCTTACAGTGATAATTCTTCATACCACTAATCTACAACTTTATGGAAAGACACTGATGTTCCAAGAATCATTATATTCTGTGATTGTGCAAATGCGTGAAAACTTTCCATTCTTGTTAATTTCTAATACTAGAGCTCCTTGAATGCTACATCCCTATCGTGATTATATGTTAATAGTTTGGTGTTTCTGCAGTTCAGCTGGAACATGCCAAATGACTGGAAGCAGGAATCTGTGACTGCAGGCATCTATCTCAAAACAGTTTTGCATTTCCAATTATTAGATAGGACTTTATTTCATGAACACATGATATTAGTACAGAGCTCCATTGGGCTGTGTAAGAAGCTTATTTCTATACCCTTTCATATGATTTGTCACTGATGTGACCCAGTATAATGACTCATATTCTAGGAATCTTTACTTTGTCAGATAAATGAGGGAAGTTCAGATATCTGATATACTGTAGCTTTGTTCCATTCATGCATGATGATACCTGCCTAATAAGCTATAATGCATGATATTGGTATGCATGAGAAACATGGCAAAGAACAGATGTTTCTGAGGATCAGAGTGTCTTCGTGTATGCATCAGTTTGCTTAATATAATTAATTATTAATAAGAAATTGAAGCTCAAAACCCATCGTATATAACTATTAGAACAAAAATAGTTTGCACTTGCTCTTGTAACCACTATGATACTGCATATTCATATACTAATACTATGCTTTTTTCTGGGAAACATATGGGACCTCAACAATGTAATACATTTCATTTTTCAGTTAAGAATAATAGATATACTTCTAATCTTGTAGTTGTTTTTTTGTCTACTTTGGATAATAATAGAATTAAGCATCCCCCCTCCCCCCCAGTTCTCATTGAATGTCATAATTTGCTTTAAAAATTCTTCCAAAAGAGAATTCAGGAGAAATTCTCATAGCTAAAATGTGGTTTGTACTTGTTAATGAAGCCAAATATTATGTGTGAATGTTATTTTACAGTCTCCTCTCCAGTGGCTTCTCACAATTCTATTAAATCCTAATGGAAGATATAATGAGGAAATTGCCATTGTCACTTCTAAGGGGTAGTCCTGCCCTTAAGATACTGTTGGAAGTCCCCCCTCGCCCCCCGGGAGAAATCTTCTCTTCATCCTCAAACTTGGTAGAGAACTTTGTGGGGGCGTTTGTGCCTAACGTCACATAGCAGCATGATAGCATTATAATGTGGATTTCATCATTACCATGTTACTTAGCTGGGGCACAGGAGGCTGTTACCTGTTTATTCTTATAACTTGGGCAATTATTTTTAATGAATGCTGTTCTTTATGATTTGTACATATTTACTGCGCAAATGAAAGAAATCGGAACAGATAAATGCTGCAAGATAATAAAGGTAGATTTATCTTCCTATTTTGACTCGGTCTATGAGAAGAGCAAGAGCCAGTTTAGTGATATCAGGCATCAGGCTAGAAACCAGGAGACCATGAGTTCTAGTCTAGCCTTGGGCACAAGGCCAGCTGGGTGACTTTGGGCCAGTCACTCTCTCTCAGCCCAAGGAAAAGGCAAACCACTTCTGAAATCTTGCCAAGAAAACTGAAGGGACTAGTCCAGGGTTTAACCATTTATAGAATATGGACAAGAGGTGCTTACAGTACTGGATGTATTTAAATCTCCAAGAATGATTAATTGTGTTCTAGGATACTGAAGAACCTGGCTGATGGTCTGGCCTAATTTCTATGCATTTTGAGAAATACTACAGAATGAGTTAAGAGCCAGATCAGAGGACGGCAATTGTTATTCCTATCTTCATAAATGGGGAAAAGGAAGATCTAGAGAAGTATGGCTCAGTCATTCTGAGGTCAACAGCTGGGAATATTCTAAAGCAGATGATAAAACATTTGATCTGTATGCACCTTGAGAAAAAAGGTGATCACCAGAAGTCAGCATGGATATGTCAAGAACAAATCTAACTTTATTTTTTGACAAGCAAACTTCCTTAGTAGATTTTGGGAATGGTGTAAATTAATATATATATTGCTGTCAGCAAAATATTTGATGAAGTATTCAATAATAATCTGCTTAGCATTATGTGCTATCTTAATTATCTTGAATTGTGCTATCCAGCAATATAGGCTGGATAGCCCAAATAAATGTATAGCTGACTTGAAAACTATTCAAAGCGTGTTTATCACAGTTTCTCATCAAACTGCGGTGAGCCCTTTATTTTTCAACATTTTTACAAATGGCTTGGATGAGGAGATAAAATGAATGCTTAAAAAGTTTGCAGTTGACACACAATTGGACAATATTGTGTGTCAACTGCAAATTTTTTAAGCATTCATTTTATCTCCTCATCCAAGCCATCAAATATTTTGCTGAGAGCAATATATATTCTTCCTCACCTTGAGTACTGTCTGGTACTTTTGAAGAAAGATTCAGAGAAACTAAAACAAATTTAGAGAATGGCAATGAGGATGATCAGAGGACTAAAAATTAAGTCCTATGAAAAGATATTGATGGGATTTGGAATGTTTGTTTATTGAGAAGTCCAAGGGGGATATGCTAGCATTCTTCAAACATCTGAAAAGATGTCATATAGAAGGCAGCCTCAACCTGTCTTCTTTCACTCCAGAAGGAAGGGCACACAATATTGCATTTAAATTACAGGAAAACAAAGCCAGTTCAATGTTATAAAAATAATTATTAACAGTAAGGGGAATCTGACAGGAATCAACTACCATTCATTAGATGTGTTCACTAGAGCTCAGACAGCCATGTGACATGGATGCTTTAGGATCCTGTTCTGAGCAGGGGGTCATATTTGATAATCTACATACTCCCTTTGAATTCTAGGAAAATACTATATTATAGATTAAGATTAAGAATTATCTTAAAACCTTTGTCTTAGTCCAAGGATGGACTAAGATGTCTTTTGTCTCTGGCAAGCACTGATTGATTTCTCTCCTAAACATCCAAACCAGCCTAGACTTGACTATGCTTCCCCTATCGTGCACAGCACTTGAATAGCCAGTTTTCACACTGCCTAAAAAGAGCTATTTGCTCTTAAATGTGTGCTAGTTTAAACTTCAGAAATTTGATTAATTTCTTTGGCATTTCTAATAACTTCCTTTAACTTTCAATTATAAAGGACAATTTTGCAGGCCAAATATATTTCATTCATGTACACACATTCATGTACACACATATATACCCCAATTCAAAATGCTCTTCTCAATTTAGTTAAAAACAAATAATTTCTGAGACAAAACCAGGATACTAGCCTCCTAGCTGAAGATGATTAACTGGTTGGAAAGAATTTTGCAGTGGAATATTTGATTAGTCAAGTACAAAATGACTGAATTAGTAGATTATTTTGAATTGCTAGCTGATAATTTTTCTGCAGGAGCTTCCTGAAAATTTTCTCTCAAATCTTGATAGTCCCTGCTCATAGAGTTCTCTTTATTATCATTTCCAGCTGGGTTCATGACATATAATCCACTAGTCAAACGGACTGTGCCTAGGGCCTAAAAAACCTTTGTAGGCCTACAAAATATTTTTAAGCATACAAAAGTATTTTTTAGTTAATAAAAACAAAAAACATGAAAATTAACAGTAAAATCAAAATCCATACTGTATATCCTAGCATTAAATATATTTAAGACATTATTATTCCTATACTTGCAATTTTTTCCCTGTGACTTTCTGAAGAATATAGGTCCATGGAATATCTTATAACCCCAAGCATCTGCATTATTACCACAACAGGAACCTACAAGGCAAATGTGCATAGGCCTATCACGGTCTTAATATAGCCCTGACTGGATTTGTATCTTTCCCCAAGAAACATGCAAGAATTTGGGGGATGTTGTTTAACATCTGCAAAATTTAGAAATGCAAAAGTTCACTTGGGATATATTTAAGACAAACACATCTGGAATGTAGCTGTACTATACAAAGTTCAGGGTTTCTATAACAAAACCTAAAAGGGAGTTCACGTGGAATCAAGGGAAATGATGAACAGTGGATGAGACTGACTAAGTGGTTAGGAGATGGGACTGAGTGAAAAAATGGAAGAAGTCTCTAAGTCTTGCAGATGTGCCTATGGCAGGGAGGCAGAATTTTCTCTTGTTACAAAGCCTAAAGCATCCAAACTATGTCCTTGTGACTTGAACCTAATATGGAAGACCTTCTGTAATTCCAAATGGGTGCAAATTTTTCCTTCCCTGAGTTTGGTCATATAAAATGTTTAGTAATCAGATTTAACCTTAATATAATTATTATATATTAATTTCATCAATATTACAATTAAGTGGAAACCTACCTGCCATTTCGGTTGGGCTTAATCCAGAATCTGAAAATGGAGATAAATTGAGTTTTCAGAAAGGACATGTATATATAAGTTTAAATCATCAGCATCAGCATCATATTTCAAAGAACTGCATGACCACAGATGATGCCCTTCTGAGAAGGGACCATAGGTCAGCGCTTGAGAAATGCTTCGCATCAGAAACGTTCTGATTCAGTCCCTAACTGGTTTAACTTAAAGATGAGATAGCAGGTGATCAGTGCAAAAACTTTTGCTTGAGTCTCTAGAAAATCCCTGCCAGCCATAATTTATGATGGTGGGCTAGATGAATATCTGATCTGACTTATTGCAGCTTTCTACATTAGAAATTATTCTTTCTACAGGATCAGTCCTGCATTCCCTGCAGGAAATAAGACTCTATCTCTCTGAAAATCTCTCTTAATTGCGAAAGAAATGAAGCCAGCCCTTTATTATAATATTTTAAAGCTTCCATTAATATGAAAAATATGCTTAAGCTAAGATTTTGGGCATAGAATTCTTGGAACAAACAAAGGAAACTATCAAGAAAGAAGCTCCAATCCAGCTACAGTCAGGCATGATTTGCTGACAGCAGTGATGCGTGGCTTAGTCATAACTACTTG